TCTCTGCGGGGTCAGCCCACTCCTGGTCACTGGGCTGGGCCACAGTTCAAGGCCAGAAAGTTGTTTCCAGCAGCATCAGGTCTTTTCCTTTCCCTTCCTTTCATTACCAGCCCCCTCCACGGCAGTCTCCTTCCGGGTCTCCAATGCAGAAAATGGCGGAAAGAAAGACAAAAAGAAAGAAAGGCAGGAAGGAAGGGAGGAAGGGAAGAAAGAAAACGAGCACTGAGCTGGTGAGTTTACTCTCTGGTGGCGCCCACTGGGGACGTGCCCGTGCCAGGCATGGATCTGCAGATGTGTAAGAGACTGTGTCATTCTCTTCTCCAGGGCTGGACGGGAGCACCAGAATCGAAGCCCACAGGGTGGCCTTGCCTGGGGGGATGTAGGCCTGCTGACGGGGGGGGGGGGGGGGGGCCCCCGGGGCCTCACCTCAGCTGCAGATCCTTCACGTGTGAGCAACACCCGGCCCTCATCCTCGGTCTCTTGCTTGACTTGCACTTCGCTCAAATCAGTCAAGTCCTTGTCACTGGCTTCCTCTCTTTTTCGCAGTTCAAAAGGACCCGTGTCCTGGAGCGGGTGAATCCCCTCACTCAACTCGTTCGTCATGACTGCAGCCCCGAGGGCAGAGCTGCTTGCTGGCCGGGGAAAGCCAGACGTAGGGAGCACTGTCAGGAGAGCAGGGATTTTAGCAGGAGCCCTATGAGAGGGCAGGGAGCACCGTCAGGAGAGCTGAGATTTCAGCCAGGCCAGATCTCCCCTTTGCCAGTCTCCTCTCTGTCTGTGCCCCAGGTCGCATATCCTCTGGCGACATGGCTCCAGCGACAGCCTCGGAATCAGAGAAAGCCTGCAGGCTCTGACTTCCTTTCTTTGCTTCTAACCCACACCAACCGTTGAGGGGCTGGGTCTAAGTCCTTTGCCCTCAATCTGCAGTGGCTGCTTTGACAAGAAGGATGGCAGAAGTGACGTAGATTCCCAAACTGGGTCACAAAAAAGCCATGGAACTTCCACCTTAGGCACTGGAGACGAAGCTCTCTGATCCACGGTCCCCACTGAGCCCAGCCTTCTAGCTTACCCCTGAGCCCACCATGAGATGCCTACCTGCCACTAGTAAACCTAACTGAGACCCTTCAGAGCAGCCCACCTGCTCACTGGAAGCTGTTGCGTAGCCGTGGCTGGTGCCATGTGGAACACAATTGGCTCAGCCAAGCCCCGCCTGACTTCCTGACCCATAAAACTCATGATTCCTGAGCTCTTGTGAAGTGGTAGTTTGTTTGTTTTTTTTTAATTTTTAATGTTTTATTTATTTCTGAGAGAGAGAGACACACACACAGCATGAGCAGAGGGAGGGTCAGAGAGAGAGGGAGACACAAGACTCTGAAGCAGGCTCCAGGCTCTGAGCTGTCAGCACAGAGCCCGACGCGGGGCTCGAACCCACGAACTGTGAGATCATGACCTGAGCCGAAGTCGGACGCTTAACCAACTGAGCCACCCAGGCACCCCTCTTGAAGTGGTAGTTTGAGTACTAAAGTTTGGGACGGTTTGCTATACACCAATAGGCAACCAGAATCCTGGACATAAATAGAAGAAACTTTGCTGATGGCTGTTGATTAACTTAGGCCGATTTCATGTGACTTACCTCATCTGTCTGCTCCTGAGCGTGAGAACTCCCTTTTGCTTGAAACTTGGGTCAGGTTACCTCCTAACCGAGCCCATGCGTTACCTGGGTTCGTGGACAGCTCCGAGCCCCACAGCATAACTTTCAAGCTTCAGGGGTGTGGTTTGGTGGTCAGTAAGTGCCCACAGCCAGCCACACACCCCACTTAACCAACACAGTGGCCACACATTCCCTTCATCCTAATGATTTGCAAACATTGTCACAAATGGCAAGTGTGGCTGCAAAAGCCATTTTTTGTGGATCCACATAAATGACATAGAGACAACACTTGACTAACATCTGTACATTCAGAAAGGGCGTCTTCCGGGGCTTCTTGGTGGCTCAGTGGGTTAAGTATCCAATGTCAGCTCAGGTCATCATCTTGTGGTTCCGTGAGTTCAAGCCCTGTGTCAGGCTCTGTGCTGACAGCTCAGAGCCTGGAGCCTGCTTCAGATTCTGTGTCTCCCTCTCTCTCTCTGCCCCTCCTCTGCTTTGCTCTCTCTCTCTCTCTCTCTCTGTCTCAAAAATAAACATTAAAAAAAGAGAAAGGGCATCTTCCTATTTCTCGGCCTGCATCTACCCTCACATGCGGAGTATGGCATTTTCACATGGCCGTTTTCCCCCCCCCCGTCACCATCATTTCTGTCCTAAGTTCACAGGGAGAGCCAGAAGAGGGACATTTTAAAATGAATAAGAAGTTGGTGGGAACCGAGGAGGACCAAGTCATGAGGCTATTTGTCAGCCTTGATTTGGGGAAAGTTCCTCGTCTCCTGAGTGGGGTGCGCCGTGTCCCCAGGATCAAGTGGCGTACTTGTGTTGTTCTTCTCCCAGGATCTGGACGGGACAGGCGTGAACTTGCAGTCAGAAGGGTGTGGGCCTTTGTGTGCCTGGGTGGCTTGTCCGTTAAGCGTCCTACTTCAGCTATGGTCATGATCTCACGGTTCGTGAGTTCGAGCCCCACATCGGGCTCTGTGCTGACAGCTCAGAGCCTGGAGCCTACTTCAGATTCTGTGTCTCCTCTCTCTCTGCCCTCCTCGCTCATACTCTGTCTCTCTCTCTCAAAAATAAATAAACATTAAAAAAAAAAAAAAAGAAGAAGAAGGGTGTGGGCCCAGGCCAGGGATATATCATATGCTCACCTACTATATGACCTTTGATGAGGTATTTAATCTCTTTGAATCTCAGTTTCCTCATTAGTCAAAAGGATCCAGTTTTAGGGGCTCCCAGGTGGCTCAGTGGGTTAAGTGTCCGACTCTTGATTTCGGCTCAGCTCATGATCTCACGGTCATAGGATCGAATCCTGTGCTGGCTCTGTGCTGAGCATGAAGCCTGCTTAAGATTCACTCTTTCTCTCCCTCCCTTCTCCCCTCTCCCTCTCTCCCTCTGCCCCGCCCTTACTAGCGCTCACTCTCTGTTAAAAACAAAAACAACAAAAAATGAAAAAAGGATAGAGTTTTATCCAATTTCACAGGAAATAAGAGGCTCTGAGTTTGCGTTTGGCCAGAAGCAGACCCCAGGATAAGGGTGTGAGTGCACACGGCCTATTGGGGAAGAAGAGGGGGCACAATGGAGGTGTGGGGAAGACACCAGTAAAGCACCTGTCATCCAGCATGCCATCACCGTGGGCACCTGCAGCTTAATCTGCAGGAGACACTGCTGGAATAGTCCTGGGGAAATCGAAGTGCTGGGTCACCTTCACTCATCTGCCAAAATATTAAAAACAGGTGTCATTTGTCACCAGAAACTGAGAAGGAAGAGCTCCATCGATCTTCCAGGTGCTGAGGAGAAAGTTCCTAGATGTGGCTCCAAAGTCAAGTTTCCGAGAAACCTGCAGAGAAAGTTGCAGAGGAGGGAAATTTGAGCCAGGAGGCCCATGGTCCCATTTATGAACTCTACACTGTGTGACTCTGGATATTATCGGAGCTTCTCTGAGCCTCAGTGTACTCACCTGAGAAATGCAGATGATAGCCCATCCTATCTTGCTCATAGGGCTTGAGGCTTTGATCAGGTGACACAATGGAAGTGGAAAGTTTATGCATTTGTGGACACCCAGCACATCCCCGCAGAGTGACTAAGAGCCACGGCCAGCGGTCACCATGGCATACGGTACATTCAAGTCATCTGGATGAGGAAGTGGGAGGTCGGTCCCGTGGGAACACCCAGCATCTCTGCACACAACTGCAATGCCATGTAGGAGAGTCACGGGGTCCTGTTAACTGACAGACCGGGTGCGATTGCCCTGGGACAGGAGAACACATCCAGAAGTTCTCCAAGGCACCAGATTTGTTCCCAGCAACTCAGAGGAAACTATATCCTGATTGAAAGGAAATACCCAATATCGGAACTCTTACATCCCAAGGCTTCGGCACGACCTGCTTGCTTCCTCCCACTGCCTCTTTCCTACGCTGCTCCTGTGACCTGGGTCAGCTGCCTGGAAACCTGGCCTCTGATGTCACCTGCTGCCTCCCTCCCTCTCCCCCTCCCTCCCTCCATTTAGGTCACGGTGGCCTTATTTAGTGCTTTAGTGTCATACCTCAGCTGTGTTTTTTGGTGCTGACCTCTGCTGTGGTCTCAGCTCACATCAAGACTTGCCTCTGGACCTGGTCTCTCCCATCTGCCTTTTCCAGAATCAGATCTACAGATGGGAGGCCTAGGAAGTTGGGGTGGCATGACTTGGGCTCTGCTAGATTTCTGTGGACCCGAGTTTCCTCTTTTGGGGGCTCCAGAGATCGGCTGCTAATGGATACAGAGAGAAGGTTTGTATGACTCTTCTGTAGTGCATTATGGGGGCTCCAGATTAGTGGTTTTCAACCTAGAACACATGTTAAAATCATGTGGTTTCTGGGTCCTATCCCCCAGAGTTTCTGACTCAATACACTGTAAGAATCTGGGTTTTTAAGAAATGTTTATTTATTTATTGAGAGAGACAGACCGAGAGAGGGAGGGAGAACGAGTGGGGGAGGGGCAGAGAGCGAGGGAGAGAATCCCAAGCAGGCTCTGCGCTGTCAGCACAGAGCCTCACGCGGGGCTCCATCTCATGAACCCTCGAGATCATGACCTGAGCTGAAATCAAGAGCTGGATGCTCAACCGACTGAGCCACCCAGGTGCCCCTGTAGCATAATATTTATTTGTACTCAATAAATCATACACATGGGTTGAACGGAGTGCTCACAAGCATTGTAATACCAGATCCTTTAAACCTATGTCTCTTTATTCCCTCACAGATATCAATAAAGCAACTGAGAAAAAAATATCAACGGAAAGAGGAAACATATGAACTCAATTCAATACCAAGTTTTCTTTTATTATTTAATGCAACTTAGTGTACGCATTTTATAGAAGGACAGTTTGGCCAAATCCCTTGGCTTAAAAGACCCCCCGTAACCGTGCATTATTCTACCCTTTTAAAGCTTTGGTCCACGTCCTCTCACTTGACCTTCACAGGAAGCTGTGTTGCAAGCGGTATCATTGTCTCTGTTTCACCGGGGCGGGGGTCCAGGCTTGCAGGGGTCATGGGAGCCGCTCCAGGTCACAGAGTGAGTAAGCGATGACACCAGGCTCCGGATCTCACCCTCTTCTCACTGCGACCAGCTGCCTCTCGAGAGATTGCTGCACCACTGAGGCCGGAACGGAGGGACCCTGATTGCCGGGGAAGCAAATGGTTTTTCCAGCCCCGTGGACAGCTCTGTTCCCAAGATTTAAGATCCGTCCTGACAGGTTGCTAGATCCGCCCATCACATCACCTCCCAAGCAGGGAAAAATGAAAAGGGGCCAACTCCTGACGGTTTCTTTAGGATTTCCTGGATAGAACAAGGACAGATGGCGACTTAATTTAAAAGAAATGGAGGGAAAAAAATAGGAGATAAAAGTGACAAATGGACATGGATGTGTCTCCATAGATTGGCCGTCTGGCGGCATACCTGCCTTCTGTTTAGCTCTGTCTGTGTCTGGCACCTCTGTCTCACCCCCTCCGGGGCACCCAGGGAGGTGAGGCGGGGAGCACGGACAGCTGTTGGAATTTATGGGACCCGAGAGGCCCCTCTTCCCACCCTCGTGGTAGGAAGGGGAAGCATGATCCATTTCCTCCTGGGTAAACATTTTCACAGGAAGCATTTATCAAATGTCAGCAGGGGCAGTGGAGGGGTCTGGGATCTGTCAGATACGACCCGCTTCACTCCTGCCCTCCCAGGCAAAGGCCATGCACATTCCCAGCCTCTCCGTCTCGCATCCCGTCTTCTCTCAACCGGCCGAGCCCAGGGAGATGGCGACAGACCTCAGAACAGCCAACTCCACTCCATCCTTTTTAATAAACAGGGTTTCTGTCAGGCTGGGCACCTGTAAACATAGCTGACTGCCCAGATCCTTCCAGAAAAAGGGCTGATGAGGAAATGTCTGGAAAAGCCTGCAGCAGGTGAAGCTCCTTGTGTACTGGACTCTGCTGGTCTTGGAGTCTGAAGCCATCCCCTGTCCTCTGGGGGACCCATGACTCGTACTTGACTCTTTCCAGGCGGTGGAAGGCTGGCCAGGCGGGACCCCTGCCCGGGGCGGGGGTCTCCTGGGTTTTCAGGCGGTACCCCCTCTGCCAATGCATAGGAGGTCACCTTCCCTCAGCACACGTGCCTTTCCCTCCCGGTGTCCCCAGCCTGTGCTCTTTTCTATGAAGTAGGAACGCCAGACGGGCCTGGATCTCATCTCGGCTGCCTGTCAAGCGTATGACCTTAGACCAGTCACTTCACTTCCCCGGGTCCAGGGTCCTCATCTGCCATTTCTTTTCATAAATTTTCTGGGCACCGTCTCTGTCCTGGGCCCCGTGCTGGGGCTGGAAAGATTTGCTGTGAGGATGAAAGGAGAAGATTCAGTAAGACACATAGGAAACTGCGGGGGAATAGGGACTCCGAGTTGTTGGCGAAGACAGTTATTCTCACTGCCATTACTTGTCTGTCCCCGGAGGAGAGTCGAATCCAAAAGGCTGTGTCAGGCTCTGAGCCTCTCAAGCCGCCACATAGTCCCTCTCGCCCTCGCCCTTTCACCGGGTCCAGGCTGCTGCCTTCTCAGACATCGGTGTGGAGCCACAGCCCATTCACACACTCACTCCCCTTCAAGGCCCAGCATGCAACAAAGATGCAGGGGCTGGGGGGGGGCTATCGGGGGGGGGCGCTATATAACCGACTGCAGCCAGATCAAAGATAGAAAGACGTGAGACTCTGGGAGAGCCAGAGCAGCACTCCTTCCGGGGAAGAAGAGGTTATTTCCAGCTTGGAGAAGCTTCCTGGAGGAGGTGGTGCTTGAGCTGTGCTGTGAAGAAGAGGGAAGGTTCGGTGGGTCCTGTGGAAGTGGGAAGAAGGGCGTTGCGTGAGCTGTGAGGCCTGTTGCCAAGGCAAAGGGAACCACTTTAGGCCAGAAGCGTGCAGCCCTTGGTCTCTGGGCCGTCAGTTAATGGTGCAGACATTTTACGACTTCCCTCGTACGGTCCGGGCAACTCGTAGACCATTTTTTCACACGCCACACGTTGCCTGAATTTCACGACAATGGAGCAAGAGTGCTTATTCCTATTTATACCCATTTTCCAGATGAGGAACTCATCACCCAGGGAGGTAAAGGGATTTGACTGAGTCCATGAAGGTGACCCATGCGAATGCGGCCCCTCGGTTCCAAGTCCAGAGCACTTTCTGTGGCACAAAGCTGCTCCCCTTTCTTCCCCAGTGCCACCCCCTCAGGCTGGTAACGCTGGTCCTCGGAGCCAAGTGAGCTTTGGGCACAACCCTCAGCCTTGGCTGTTGCTTCATGAACACTGTCTAGGGCTCTGTGGGAGCATCCGGGGGGATCCCTTGCTCCCATCAAATGGATTCTAACCCATCTTCTATGAGCACATCTTACTCAGAGGGACCTTTCTAGAGCCTAGGACTGCTCATGCTGTGCCCTTGCTTGCAGACCTTCAGTAGCTAGCCTGGCCCTATAGGTCCGGCCCAAACTCCTTCACCAGTTCTTCTGCATCCTTCTGGACCCATCTTGCCCTTCTGAACTCCCCAGTCTCCCTCCTTGCTGACCTCCCTTGGGCCTCCTGTGCCTGAGACGCCAAACTACTTGAAGTTCCCCAAATGTTCCAAACTCCTCCATCACCGTCCTGCGCCTACATTGTCTCTGCAGCTCAGACGTCTCACTTAAGTAGCTTTGAGTTGAGAGCAAGCTCCTACCCTCACCGGGCCTCAGCTTCATTGGCTGTAAAATGGGGACGATAATAAGGCCCATCTTGAGAAGCTGCCGTGTAGACTCATTGGCTTAATACGTGTAACGATTAGCCCAAGTCCTGGTACACGGTAGGTGTGTAGTCAATACGCTGTCGCTGTCCGCAGTGCAGGAACGACTCTCCCTCACTGCATGGAAACTTCCCGGGCAAGTCTCCCAGTTGGCCTTCTCCCGTGGCCTCCTGGGAAGGCGACCCTCGCTGCCTGAGCCGAGTGCCTCTTGCCCTCTGCCCTGCGCTCGTGGGCGCCCCGCACACATCCTCCCTCGGCTCCTTGCACCCTAAGGATCTGCCTCAGGAGGCCTCCTCACCAAGCTCTTCGAGGGCAAGCTTTCGTCATGTTTGAGAGCCCGGGCCCTGTCTGGGTCACTGTGGTGCCTCCCATGCCCAGCACGGCCTCGACAGGGGCCCGGCACGCTCCTAGGAGGGGTCTATGGAAGGGGTGAAGGGGTAAACAGAGCTGGCCTGGAGGGCCTTGTTGTGTGAGTGATGGCGGACACCTCTCGACTTCGTTTCCTGAGAAAGAGAACGGAAGACTGGCCTCCGCGGTCTTAGGGAGTCCCCAGCATTGCGGGACCCGCAGGACCACACAGGCACAGCTCGGGGAGGCGCGGCGAGACTTGGGAATGAAACCCTTAGTCAATGTCGCATCACAAAACGTCAGCAGGTTAACCAGAGTGGACGTACAGGGAACTCTACTTACGGAGCTCTGTGACAGGGCCTTCATTTGCCCCCGCTCCTTCCAAGGCCTTACAGTTGGTAGCACATTTGTCATTCGGTATTCTTTTTCTTAAACATGTTTGGGACACCTGGGCGGCCCAGTCCGTTAAGCGTCCGACTTCGACTCAGGTCATGATCTCGTGGTTCGTGAGTTCGAGCCCCGCGTCGGGCTCTGTGCTGAAGCTCAGAGCCTGGCGCCTGCTTCCAATTCTCCGTCTCCTTCTCTCTCTGCCCCTCCTCTGCTCATGCTCTGTCTCTCTGTCTCTCAAAAATGAATAAATGTTAAAAAAAATTTTAGAAAAAGATGCCGCCCCCCACAATTTGCACAAGCTTCAAGGCCTCCCAGACCCCAGTGGCTCTTTGACTCAGTCCTTCCCCAGTGAGCTCCCTTGTCTTGTCTGCCTCTGGGACTCTGAGTCAGGAAGGGCGACCAGGAGCCAGGACCCCGTCACACTGCCCCTCCTGGCTTCCCCACCGCCACCTGTGCCTGAAGGGCAGCTGTGGGGGGAGGGGTGCGCAGATCCATACAGAACACCTCCCATTGCCCCCCCCACTCCTCCCTCCCTCCCTGCCCCCCCCCCCCGGGTTTCTCAGGTCCTCTGGTTTGGCTCTGAACCTAATCACATCCCTCCCTCCCTCCCGTCGCATCACACCCGCTTTGAGCCAGCCTCCTCGCGTGAAGGCCTTCTTGGGCTATTCGAGCCTCTCCCTTCCAAGGGCATGGCCTCCAGCTCCATAAACCGCAGCGATGGTAAACAGCCTCTGCCCCGAACTTGCACGGCAGGCCAGTGGGTCAGAAGGGCCAGCCTGTCCCTTGATCAGTTTCCAAGTGTGGGAAGAGGGCGCTGGAGCCCGGTGGGGGGTGGGGTGATATTCGACACATTCAAACCATTTCCTTAGGGAGGAAATGTCATTTACATAAATACGCTATTTGCAGACTACCTACACACACCCTGCCCGGCCCAGTTCTCAGTCCTGGTTGCACTTCTGAATCACTCAGTGATTTAAAATACGCTGATGCCTGGGGCCGCCCCACTCCAGAGATTTTTTTTTTTTAATTTTAGTTTTTTAAAAAAATGTTTTCTTTATTTTTCAGAGACTGAGAGACCGAGGGTGAGCGGGGGAGGGCCGGAGAGAGAGGGAGACACAGAATCCGACAGAGGCCGATGTGGGGGCTCGACCTCACAAACCGTGAGATCATGACCCGAGCAGAAGTCGGATGCTCAACCGACTGAGCCACCCAGGCGCCCCCAGAGAGATTCGGTTTCAGTTGGGGTGGGATGGAGCCTTGGTATAAGGGAATTTTACAACTCCCCAGAGGAGTCGAACGCGTGGCCAAGAGTGAGAATCACTGCTTCAGGGAATGTATTCTCCGAACGCCAAGGCGGACGAAAAGGAAGAGTGAGGATTGGGGCAAAATGAGTTTTAGTGTGAGTAACATAACATTCAGTGTGATGACTTTGCCTCCCAGATTTGACCTGAAGTGATCCAGGGGTGCCTTCCCCTCCTCCAGCCCACCAAACGGGGGGGGGGGGGGTGAGCCCAAAACTCTGTGTGGTGGGGGAGGGGCTCCCTGGCTCAGCCCCGACCCCCACTCTCCAGGAGGATGGGAGTTTTAGGGCAGCAGGGCATGCCCTAGGCCTGAGTCAGAGGTCATGGACTTGGGGGGAGCTTGAACTAGGGGTTCGGAGTTCCGATTCCAGCCACACCCCTGCGGCCGCCGCACACCCACCCCTCCTCCTGTCTCCTCAGCTCCGGAGCTTGTGCTGTCATTGTCTTGGTTGTTTAGACTCCGGAATCCATTCACCCTGGACTCTGTTTCTCCTTCTTCCATATCCAGTTGGTCACCCCTTTCGGTGCACGTGTCCATCGATCCTTCCCTAAACTGCCCTTCCTCCCCAGGGACTCCTCACCATCTCCCATGCAACTTTTGCTGGAAGCCTCTGCATTAGCTTCCGGATTGCTCTGGATTTCCGATTCCCTCTCCCTATGCCAGATCGATGTTTCTGTCTCAGGACGCCGTCTCCAAGCGACGCAGGAGCCAGAACCTTCCATGACTTTCCCTGGCCCTAGCACAGCGGTTCTTAAAGTGTCTCCCGGGGACCAGCAGCAGCAGCAGCAGCACTTGGGAACTTGCTAGAAAGGCGAGGTCTCCGATCCCAGCCCAGACCCACTGAGTCAGAGCGGTGAGAGCGAAACCGGTAATCTGTCTGAACAGGCCCTGCAGGGGTTTCTGACGTGTGCAGGAGACCATTCTGTCCACTCTCCTGTGCGCGGCATTCAGGGCCTCCCGCACGCTGGTCCAGCTTTCCTGTTTGTCCAATCTGTAGCTGTCCCAGCAACCATAGCCCTTACTGTGGGACCCTGCTCATACTCTCCCCTCCCTTGGAAAGTATTTGTATCACCTGTAAGTATCTACATCTATCTCTCCGTCAAGATCCCTCATTTATTTTGACGGATTGCAAGATTTCCCCTAGAGGAACATTTCTCCTTTCTTGACCCCTGTAGCATTACTTTCTTCCCTTCTCTCTGTCCCTCCTCCTTTCTGTTTCTTTCTTTGAGTTTCGCCTTTAAAGCAGGGCTTCTCTTAATCACGACTACATAATAGAATCCGTTCAAGGAACCTCAAAAAATAGGTATACGCAGGCCACACTCCAAAGCAATTAAATCAGAACTTCAGGAGGAAGCCTGTTATCATCTGTTTTGAAAGTTCCCCCGGATAATTTTAATGGGTACCTGAAATTAAGTACCTTTCTCATAAAGCAACCGGAGGGAAAACCGTGCTGGGAAGAGATAGGAATTTCAAGTTGAGACCCAGGTTGACTCAGGTCAGGGCTCTGTCCCAACAGGCCATTTATCTTTGGGCGAGTCACTTCCCCTTTCTTAACATGTGTTTCCCAAGCTACCAGACGAGGCGCTGTTTTAGATCAGTGGCTCTCAAAGTGAGCTGATGTCTGGTTCCCACCCCAAGAGTTTCCTGTCTAATCATCTGGACCCTGATGCGCAGCCAGCGTTCAGATCCAGCCTCATACACCTCACCCGAGGGCCCGTGGAAGATGTGTCCAGTGGTTTCCTTTGGGGAGTAAGATGTCTGCCCTTTCAAAGACTTAAAGACTTCTCTGCCCTTGCTGTTGTTCACCTTCCCTCCCCTAAGGATGAACTCCCATGCCAGGCTTCAGGGATGAAGGGCACGGGAAGTTTCCTTATCTGATAGCAGGAGAGCCCGAGGTCTTTGGAACCTACCACAGGCATCCATGTTGGGGGTGTGGTGCCTCAGCAGGAGGTGGATTAAGGATCCGACGAAGATCCTCCCCAGAGGCCTGGCAGAGGGTCACCAGGCCTGACTTGACGCTTCTCATCTCCAAAAACCTGGTCATACCTGCCACAGATGGAGAAACGGGTTTTCCTTCACGGTCAGGTCAGGGTGTGATTTAAAGGCAGGTATAAGAAGAGAACTTGTAAGTAGCAGAAGTCAGGCTACACCAACAGCAGCAGAGAGAGGGAGCCAAGCTGCAGCCCAAGGAAGGCAGAAAGACCCAGCAGCCAGGGGGTGGGGGTGGGGGCAGCAAGGGAAGCCAAGACCACATGGGCGCCTTTCTGAGGAAGGTGTTTCTGATCCCTAGATTCACCCAGCAGCCATCCACCATGAGCGCCTCTGTTTATCTGCACATCAGGCTGTTCCCTTGGAAGGGAAACAGCCCGAGAGCAGGGTAGCCCCTAGGGGAGACCTTCCACCTCAGGGCCAGCAGGGCGGAGAAGATGAAGACGAGAGAGATAGTCTCTGACGTCTTCTCCCGCCCCCATGTGCCAGGAACCCTTTTCTTACTCTCTGCCATGCGCTTCTTCCACACCCTCCCCTGCAATGATGGATTCCCTCTCCCGGAGGCAGGCTGCTGCGGGAGGAGGGAGGGGCTGTGTTTTGCTTGCAGTGACAGACATCGCTGGCTTGGGGAGGCCCGGGTTGTTTTGCAGATGAGAAAACAGTGGTGGGGGTGCGGCGTCTGGCCCAGGCCAGACCAGGGAGCCAGGACAGAGGTCAGGCCGTCTGTCTGGAGCTTGGAGCACCAGACCATGCTTCCTGATGACTTTACAGTCTAAGCCTTTGAGAAGAAAATGCACGTGGAAAGGAGCTTTGTTTTGACTTCTAGACACTGGCAGGGACGGCTTTCCCTGTGGAGGGGATGAGGAAGTCACAGGGCAGAGGGTATGACGTGTCTGCATCCCACCCCCTTCCCTGCGAAGCTTCTGGTAAAGGCTGGAGTCTGTATGTGGTGGGGGGTGTGGGGGTGAGGGCCAGGTGGGTGTAGTTCTCCAAGGTTAAGACTCCTGGGGTTGTTCCGGGCAGATTGGAAGTTTGAGGGCTTGAATATTGGTCAAAAAAAGCTTTCTGGCCCCAAGGAAGTCATAAAAGTCACCCATGCAAGGCTCCTCGTGGCTTTGTAGGCATTGGGTGGTCTTTGCAAGGCCATTGTTTGGTTGCCTTCGAGGTAAATGGATCATAAGGTCCGAATCTCCTTTTCAAGGCATTGCTGGGGTGGAGGAGCGGAGGGGAGGGGTCTCTGGGAGCAGAATTTGGGGTTTGGCGTGCCCCCAACACTGCGTGCAAATGGGAGAAGACATGGAGGCGTTTGGGGACGCTTACATTGTAAGGTAGGCAGAGAATCCCAAAGTTGGAAGGGAACTTGGGTCAATTTAGTATCCGTCCACCTCCGGTGGCCAGACCTACTGGGCTCCCAGATGAGGACACTGAGACCCTGGGGCGCTGTTGGCAGAGTCAGACTCAGAGCAAACTCTATAAGCTCTGGCCCCAGGCGCTCTCCTTGGCTTGGCGGATGCCTTCTGCCTCGGGGCTCCAGGCTGTGCCCTTTGTCTTGCCTTTCCTGTCCCCGCACTCTGGGAGGGCCATCCCTCCCGGCTCTGTGATTTTTGGCAAATCTCTTAACCACGTTGTCACTCGGTCCAACCCAGGTGGGAAGCCAGGCACAACCCAGGCTCCTGGGAAACCAGCCGTGGCACCCAGTTGACCCTTCTCTGCCAAATCCACCCCTGCCTTGGAAGAGGAACATGCTGGGGAGAGAGGCCGAGGAGTGTTTACGTGGCTTAGCAACACCTCAAAAAAGCTTGGCTGATGCAAACCCCCCTCCCCCCCAAAACCTAGAAAGAATGTAAAGAAAAAATGTTCTAAATGACGAACCTTCGCAAGGTCTTCATTGCTTGCTTCCCATACATTTCTACAGGATTTGTTTAAGAAAAAACAAAAAGGAGGAAACGATTGAAATGAGGCCAGACATGGTGGCTGGCCCCAGAGAGAACAGACCAAGACAACTACCAACTGCATCAATTATGGCTGCCTGCGGAAAGCCACTGAGGGACCTACAGTTTTATTTTTTTTTAAGTGTTTTATTTATTTCTAGGAGAGAGAGAGAGAGACAGCTTGAGCAGGGGAGGGTCAGAGAGAGAGGGAGTCACAGACTGAAACAGGCTCCAGGCTCTGAGCTGGCAGTCAGCACAGAGCCCGATGCGGGGCCCGAACCCACGAACCGCGAGATCATGACCTAAGCGCAAGTCGGACGCTCAACCAACTAAGCCACCCAGGCGCCCCAAGGGACCTACAGTTTAAAAGGCGTTGTTAGCGGGGGCACCTGGGTGGCTCAGTCGGTTAAGCGTCCGACTTCGGCTCAGGTCATGATCTCGTGGTTCGTGAGCTCGAGCCCCGCTTCGGGCTCTGTGCTGACAGCTCAGAGCCTGGAGCCTGTCTTCAGATTCTGTGTCACCCTCTCTCTCTGTCCATCCCCTGCTCATGCTTGCTCTCTCTCAAAGATAAATAAAAGATAATTTAAAAAACCCCAAAATAAAATAAAATAAAATGCTTTGTTAGAGAATTTACGAACTCGGAGACCCCGAAGGTCTATCCCACCCATAAAAGGGGAAGACCTAGTTTCAGAGAAGGGAGGGATGTTGTCCAGGGTCAAACAGCAGGGTGATCATGGCAGGGTCCAGAGAAACCCCAGCTCTTTCTTGCCTGCCTAGAGCTCAGCTCTATGCACACAGGCTGTTTGTACAGGTGAAGATCAAGGTCACAGCTCTGTGTTGCTCAAGCAGCCTCCCAGACGAAAGCATGGGCCAGACTCCTGGCCGGCGGACGCTGGCCTAATCACAAACTTCTTTGTTTGTTTGATGGATCACACTACCTCTTGAGCTCCTGTGGGGAGGTTAGAGGAAGCTGTACTTCTTGAGACATGGGTGCAAGTCCAAGTCTCTCCGAAAGCCACCTGAAGGGAAGTGAGCAAGGAGGAGGGAATGTTCGTAGGGCCAGCTCTGCCACCTGAGACACCCGTCTCAACAATGGAGGTCAGGCACCTGGTGAGTGGACTCCCACAGGGTGCAGAGGAACTGCCAGGTGCCCCAGGATGGATTTCATGCTGGGGCGGGGGGGAGGGGGGGATGGCCTGAAAGTTACTGGGGAGAAGGAGCAGCATCCAGTGCTGTATAGAGGTGATGGGGAAACTCTACTGGGGGGTGGGGGGCAGCATGGGGCTGGTTCTAGGGAGATGGGCCCTTGTGGAGGAACAGGGTAGCAGGTGCAAGAAGGTAGGCAAGTAGGGATTCCCCTGCCGCACCCACCACGTGGCCAATGTTGTCAGCCATGGAGCTCGGAGGTTAAGAATACAGCTCAGTCGAAATCAGTCAGTCAAAGACAAATATCATACGACTTCACTCGTGAGAGGAATTTAAGACAACAAAACAGATGAACCTAAGGGAAGGGAAGCAAAAATAATATCAAAACATGGAGGGGACAAAACCCAAGAGACTCTTAAATACAGAGAACAAGCAGAGAGTGACTGGAGGGGTTGTGGGAGGGGGATGGGCTACATGGGGGAGGGGCATGAAGGAATCCACTCCTGAAATCATTGCTGCACTATATGCTAACTAACTTGGATGCAAATTAAATGATAAATAAATTATTTTAAAAAAAAAGGAAAAAAGGTTACAGGCTTAGCAATCAGACAGAAGGGCCTGACTCCACCTTTCTCCAGCTGCCGGAGCATGGGCAAGTTAACTTAGCTCTTTTGAGTCTTAGTTTCCTCGTTAGTAGGATGTGGATCAGAACACCGACCTCACAGGTCATTGTGAGAACTCAGGGCTGCCTCCTTAGGACATGGGCTGGAGATGAGGTCCCTCCGTTCCCCGCTCTTGCCCAGGCCACATTTACTGGAAAGCACCTCTCACACATTCCTCGCAGGCTGCACACAGTTGCTCTCACAGGGTGGGGAGGGGTTCAGACCGCAAAGACCTACCATTTGCCTCTGGGAGCTGCCAGGCTGGGCACTCCCCAGTGGGAGGCTGGCATCCTCTGTGGCCCGCCTCTCTCTGAGGGCATGGGCTTCAGCATCCCAGAGGTGGCTGTTCATAGGGGCCTCCGGGCCTTTGGGCCGCATTACACCCCGGGGGCTGTGTCTGGCACAAAGGAAAATGCTGTACTTCCGGGCAGCCCTAAGGAGGGGCCGGGACTCTTCATCAGATCTGGAGGTAGGTTGGGAACCCAGAGCAAGGGTTTGGCCAAGATTTTCTGAGGTCAAGGTGCAGCTCTCCTCCTCTGTCCCTTCACACAGATTGTAGTTTCACCTCAAAATAAACTTTGAGCAAATGTTTAAAGAAGAATTATAGGGGAGAGAGCAAATTATTAATCTTCCGGGGCCAGTCACAAGCCTTGGTTTGAACATGGCTTCCTATGGGCCCTCAAAACAGACTGGCAGAGACTGCTTGGAGTTCAGGAAATTTTGTTTTCTTCTTCCTGGTCGTCAGTCAGACTACATTTCCCAACCTCCCTTGCAGTCAAGCATGGTCATGTGACTGAAAGCTAGCCAATGGAATGTGAGCAGGAACGATGAGGGCCACTTCCAGGTCCTGCCCATCAAAACACCACAGGTGCACTCCTTCATGTTCCTTTCCCTTTCGTTCAAATGAGGATAATGCTCAGGGGCCCTTGAATGCCCTGTATTATAATGGTTGTGTCCATCCAGTCTGGATTCCTGTAGGTCTAAGTGGAGAAGGGTCACTGGATTGACTCATTCATGGGCTCAAAATTGATATGTGAACAAGAAATAAACACCTGTTGTATTTGAACCCTTGTGAAATTTGGAGTCTATTTTCTAAAGCAGGGCACTTATATTAACTCCTATAGGAGTTGAGCTAGAGAGACAACCTCTAGTCCTTGCAATCTATAAACCCTCACAGTCTATTTTCATTATTTGTGGTAATTATGTTCTAAAAAGTTGCTGTGAATTAGCAAGTACTGAGCCACTGCTCCCAGGAGAAATTCAGGGTTAGCTTCCTGTGAGCCACTGGTCACGACATTTTGATCAATACATAATCTTATTTTATGTGCGTTTCTGTTTAAAGACAGCTTGTTTAAATATATTATTGGTTACTTACTGATGAACTCATGGCCAACAGCACTGTAACTCATACCTGAGTGAAACGTCATGAACACTGTGCATATCATTTGCTCCACAAGGTACATCACAGACTTCTTTCATGAAGGAACACCAGACAGCACATCAGCACTGTCCTTGGGGATCATTTTAAACAGCGAATTTACTGTAAAAAAAAAAGGGGGGCGCACAGAAATACAAAAACAAAACAACCTCCCCACACAAAACCTCATACCCTGGCACTAAATAGATTGTGAAAAGGGCACCTTACAGTATGAGAGCTGAAACAAGAAGCCAAAGCATGGACCGCAGCTGGGAACATGTGTGTCAAGGGACTCAAAGTTTTCATCCATCTTCACATGTCCACAAATGACTGCCAAAGCACCACAGATATGGACTTTGGTGTTAAAAATAGGTGAATCCTGGGGCGCCTGGGTGGCTTAGTCGGTTATGCGTCCGACCTCGGCTCAGGTCACGATCTCATGGTTTGTGGGTT